TTGTGAACCCAATGAGTCGATGCCAAGAGCTCTCGATAAGCCGCCGTCTCATGATGCACATCATCGTGAAACGCTTCTTCTGGAGCCTTTGCAGTTGAGATTTTCTCGCTGCTGACATTTGGTTTCTGGTTACGGCTGGTTATGGGCGAAGCCGCACTGTCCTCGCTGCGTTGACTGTGGCCATCCTCATCTTCGTGCTCTCCAAATCTCTGGAACAATATCACCATGGTGGATACCGTAGCGGTGGGAGGGGAACTGAATGAATGAGGAAGCTCTCGTTTCTTGGTTCGAAGTCACGGGGGCATTGCGTTGTTAGTTGCATGTACGGGGTATCGCTGAAATCAGTAAGACTTAGAAAATTATTTAGATTTGTTGGAAACAGCTAAAAGGAATTATGTCCAGTGTGTAAACTCGATTTTTAAAAATGGCTTTTTTATATGATCTTCATTATAGATACGGCTGGCTCGATCCTACTTAACGAACCATTTTGCCTTGTTGCACCAAAAAGCGCCCGGAGGAGTACGGTGTATTCATCCTGTCAAAATGACTATTTCAGGCACTTTCCACTTTCTTGACAAAATACCGGTACCGTTAGCTACGATGTCGACTGGGTACTACCGGTACCGGTATGTACCTGGTGGCTACCGGTAGCTGGGCGAGTGCATCAATTGTGAGCTTGAAAGCCACGGAATGAGGTACAAGTACTAGCTAGTAGTAGAGTTTGCAATTCCGGGATGAGGCGCTAGCATTAGGGAGAGAAAGCTAGCTAGTAGAAAGGTTCTTATTTGTGGAGTGGGAAATCGCAGCAGGGCGAGAATGAGCGAGCGCCTCGATTGTACACACGGTGCTTGCCTGTGTTGCATCGAATCTGGTGCCTTTGTCCGCTCTTGACCGCTGCGGGCCAGGTTGAAGCAACGGAAGCCAAAAGCTCCCACGAAGGTGCTGACGTGCATTGCCTTATTCATGGTTCAAGTCACAATGAGTGAGGTAGGAAGCAACTTTCTTTTCAATGGCCGGTGGCTATTAATAGTACTTTAGGGTGGCGGCGACTATGCTACCATCCAACGATCATCATATCATCATCCAACTCGCTCAACCCAGTGCCGGGGCATCGGAGCAAACAAGAGCAGTCCCAAGATTTAGCTTTTAAAAAACCTAACTTTGTCCGTGATGACCACCGTGGATTTCCGTTTCCATCGTAATGCTTGCTAGCTAGTACAGGTATTGTTGGAGTGCTCCATGACCATTGACAACATGAAGGCCTACGGGCCTGCTGCCGGTATGGCTTACGACGTGCGGTGGACTCGACTCTGTGCATTATTGAGGTCAGTTGGCGTCGTTCAAAGCGGGTACCGCGGTTTTCATATTGCGCGCACAGACGAGGCCCCACTTTGCTCAGATCGCTCCAGAGAGCCCTTGTAGCCACGAACAATCTACACAATGAGTCTTGTCATTAGAATGCGTGCTCTGTAAAGAATCGAATCGGTGCCTCTTTTAGCTGTAGGTCTATCTATTATCGAGGCTGAACGTTTGAAGCCCTTGAAATCACCAGCGAACTACCGGTATCATCGCTGCTCATGCCAGCAATGTATGAAAGGTTCGCAAGTAAGCATGCACAATAACGGTGCGCTCCTTAGCTGGGTCTATTATCACGATCGCGTCCTTGCAACTGACGTCGCAGCAACTCGTCCAATAGAAATTGTTGCTGTCGCTGCTGCTGCTGTCTCTGTTGTTGCTGACGCTGTAGTAGAAGTAAAAGAGCCTGCTGTTGTCTAGCGTTGCCCTGCTGCTGTTGTTCAAAGCTCTGTCTTCGATTCATTTCGGGCTGTTGAAGGCGACGCAAAGGATCCGGTCCTGTCAGAGCACCGA